TACTTGTATTTTTTTTCATGAAGTTTTACCAAATGGCATAAAAGCATGTTTCTCCAATAAACGTCCCTTTTAGCATGTTTTTGCATGGCTTCCATACTTAGTACTTAATTGTGCTAACCCCTTTCTTTCCCTTTTTAACTAAAGTGTAGGGATTTGGAGATGGTGACATGTCATGGCTACTTGATAGGTTTCTAAGTGTTGGAGATGAAGACTTGGTGAGTCCTCATAGATTCGAGGACAATACCCCATATGTTCTTTTATGTCTTTTTAAGTATTGTTTAAGTTGTGTATAGGATTGGTCCCGAATTTTGTACTCTAAAGTATTAGATGGTTTGAGACATCATGTATAAAGTCTAGAAAGTCTTCCGCTTGCTATAGTTTTTTTTATTATGAAATGTCTTCTTTGTAAAGAAAGTTTTTAATTCCTTATGGTTTTTAGTGTCTATACGATGAATGAATGCTAAGAGGCTTGTATTAGACCTCTTCGAGGTCGAGTACGCCGGTTACGACTAGGGGGTGCTCCCGGGTCGTGACAGTTATAGTATAGTATTGATTATAGTTTGATCGTCAACTTGAGCTTTGTGCCTCTGTGCCAACTATGTACCTTACATTTCTTTGTATTCCTTAACTTTGTCAAAATATCAGATTTTTCACCCGATTTCGATTGGTATCAACAAGAAGATGCACATGAATTCTTACAGTGCTTTCTCAATAAACTCGAATATTGTTGTTACAATCTAGAACCACAAGACAACATTGTGAAGGAGGCCTTTGGTGGTCGTTTTGTGAGCAAGGTAATCATTTACATGTTTTTTTAACTCGATTTTTTTCATTTTTCAAATTGATATGTAATTCTTTTACTTGAGTCGAGGGCTATCAAAAGCATCCTCTCTACCTCCCAAGGTAAGGGTACGATCTGTGTACACTTTGTATGTCTAGCTTGTATATATAAAATTTATATTGTTAATCTATTTTTCTCGATTTGAAGCTCCGTTGTTGCAATTGTGATCATTTCTCTGTCACACACGAGCCTTTAATCGACATAAGCTTAGAGATTGAAGACATTGACAATGTACCAGCAGCACTAGAGTCTTTCACTAAAATCGAAAAAATTGAGTTTTATTGTGAAAAGTGCAAGACACAAGGGCCATTTGAGAAGCAGCTCATCGTTGATCGTGCCCCTTCTGTTGTTGCCCTACATTTGAAGAGATTCAAAAATAACATAATAGTTGTTCAGAAGGTAGACAAGCATGTTTCATTTCCGTTGGAATTGGACATGCTTCTTTATACCAACAAAATCAATAATGTGAGTATCTTTATTTGGACTTTACGTGAATTTTATCTTTTGTTAGCAGTTACATGATGTTGTTTCAATTTTTTTTCTTTTCTCAATAGGAAGAAATGAAATATGATCTCTACGCAATTATAGTGCATTCCGGACCTTCAATATCTTCAGGACATTATTACAGCTTCATTCGTTGTGCTCCAAATGAATGGTACAAATTTAATGACGAGCAGGTATATTGGAAAATAGTAGAATTTCCTTAATTTGTTAGAAACATTTTGAGTTTACGACAACTAACTTGATATTTTGTTTGATTTTGTCCTAGGTTGTTTTTGTTGAAGAAGATTTTGTTTTAGCACAAGAGGCCTATATTGTGTTTTATGCAAGGAGAGGCACTCCATGGTTTTCAGATTATATCCAAATCCATAGGGCCTTCGTAAATCTGATTATCCCCACAACTTCTCCGTGCATTCCAAATAATCATGCTTTCGATGTTGGTGAATTCAATAATGTTGCAGATGAGACAAATATGAAGCATGAACTCAACAAGATTGAGCAAGATGATTTCCCTGGTAAACTCATCTTCTACTTCTATTTCTGCATTTCCTTTATTTTAAATTGAGGGTCTATCGAAAATAACATTAATATCTCAACCAAGTAGATTAAGGTTCACTAGCACAAATTCAATTTCTTTTTTTATTCAAGTTAAACATATGTTCAAACTTCAAACACAACATCCGAATACATATTTTTTTTTCAACTTCAATCAAATTTTGTTCAAACAACTACTAACTATTTCTTTTTTAACATTAGCAGATCAGGAATATTCCAAAGATCAATTGCAGGACGTGAAAATAAAGCACGTGTGTTCAAGGGATGAAGAATTCATGGATGCATTGCATGGCGGCTCACATGTAAGTTTTGTGAATGAAAAGAAGAGGAAGCTGGAAGATTCTCCGAGTAGAGACGATTGAAGTTCAGCTAGCTAGTAGTTGTCGATCAAGCCTTGGCTCTGCAGGTTTACCTTATGTAATGGCTAGTAGCAGCAATAACAAAATGAGTAATTTGAACTCATAGAATAGTCTTTTTAATATAATGCTTTGGGTTCCCATAGGCGAATTCAAAATTTTGAGTTAATGGATTCAAAGATAGAAATGATATCTTATTGGATTTTGGATGAATTATTTATAAAAAATGGTTTTTGTTTGGTGTTTGAATATCTTTCCCTTGGACTTGTGAATGAAAGAGTTTTGAGTAGTTATTGTATTCTATTGAACCTCTAATTAGAATGCTACTCATGTCCAGTTAGGTCTCAATGTGTGTTCGGTATGAAAAGAAAAATGTTTTATAATTTTTCATGTTCGGTTGGTCAAATATTTTGAAAAATATTTTCTCTAGGAAAACACACTCCTTAAAAATGAGGAATCTGGTGACTTCCCTAATGAAAGTAGGGAATTTTTGAAACAAAAAAATTCATGAAAAACATTTTCCTTTCGTATCGAGAAACATCCACAATGTACTACTCTTGAACTGGCCTAAGTAGTTTTTGGATATCTTGTTTAGTTTATTATGTATCAATGCATTAACGTTGCAACTTGCTAAATTATGTAATACTACATTTTCTAGTTGTTGTACTTTACTGTAAATAACATATTTAGTGTAATGTGACAATGATATAACGTGCCGATGGTATGGATAGGAGAGGATGGTGTGTATGTAGCTTTATATCTATATTGAGCAAGATACGAACTATTTCTGGTAGATTGTGCAAAAGATATCAAGAGTAAATTAAAGTATGTAAAGCAAATACAGTAATGAAGATCGAAGTCGTACTGTAATGGAGAATAGAACCATGACGATAAATAATATGATAATTGAAGCCAAAGACGCAACAAGTAATACTAAAATTGAAGAATAAGATTGTATATACGAGAGTAGGATATATAGAAAATGGTGAGATGGATGGAACTCGACCGACTTTAATTAGAGTTTATCGATTAGAGCCAAACTTCGATTGTGACTATTTATTATAACTTTTTACCATTTTATTTTGATCGCGGCGTACAAAGAAGCAACCTCTTGACGATCTCACATTTTCCATGAGTTGGTTGAGCCTTCATTTTTTGGATTGTCTTCTATCTTATGTTGTACCTGTAATTTTTAAGTTTTCATTGGGTTTACCTTATTCACGGGTCGATTCCATGGCAACAAAAAAAGATTTTGTGTTAGATTTCTGAAAATTGAGAAATATTGAATATGGAGTGTTTTCCCCTTTAAGGCTTTAACTAACCCTACCCCTACGAATGGAGTCTAGACTATTCAAATCAATAAATTCGATTAATAGATGGTTAGACAAATTTGATTACCTTACAAAGATAGAGAGGTTGTTTCCGATAGAGAACTTTTGACTCGGGTAAAACGTATCCAAATCAGTTTCGAGCATTACCTAGTTTCCTTATCGTAATAATAATAATAATAATAATTATTATTATTATTATTATTACGATAAGGAAACTAGGTAATGCTCGAAACTGATTTGGATACGTTTTACCCGAGTCAAAAGTTCTCTATCGGAAACAACCTCTCTATCTTTGTAAGGTAATCAAATTTGTCTAACCATCTATTAATCGAATTTATTGATTTGAATAGTCTAGACTCCATTCGTAGGGGTAGGGTTAGTTAAAGCCTTAAAGGGGAAAACACTCCATATTCAATATTTCTCAATTTTCAGAAATCTAACACAAAATCTTTTTTTGTTGCCATGGAATCGACCCGTGAATAAGGTAAACCCAATGAAAACTTAAAAATTACAGGTACAACATAAGATAGAAGACAATCCAAAAAATGAAGGCTCAACCAACTCATGGAAAATGTGAGATCGTCAAGAGGTTGCTTCTTTGTACGCCGCGATCAAAATAAAATGGTAAAAAGTTATAATAAATAGTCACAATCGAAGTTTGGCTCTAATCGATAAACTCTAATTAAAGTCGGTCGAGTTCCATCCATCTCACCATTTTCTATATATAATTGTGTCATGATCACAATATTAATAACGATTATTTTTCTACACTAAAAAAGACAACACCTAGCATGTGCTATGGCTGAATTTTATGTGCTTTGATTTCTCTCAAGTTGTTATCAATTAAATATTGTTCACATTTTGATATTTATCTACAAATTAGTAATTAATATTAGCAAACTCCAAAAAAATGGTCACAATCACAAAGTCTGTATGGATTAATTTGTGAATTTTTACAAATAGTAAAAGATAAATAATTGTTCTCTTTACATAATATAAATGTTGAATTACTGCATATATCAGAGCTTGAATAATATAAGTATATTTTACCTTCACTAGAATTTGAATGCATCAACTCAACACTCGTATAATTTCTTTTTTTGATAGTTATGATATCTGAGTTGATTTGTATATTTCATCTTATAGTAAGAGACAATAATTGTTATCTCCGACTAACATAAATATCAAATAACCATACTATCAAAGCTTGAATAGTAAACATATTTTTACATTCATTAGAATTTGGATGTGTAAACTCAATGTCCATGCAATTATTTTTCTTTTTTTCTTTTATAATAATAGTAATGTTTAAACTAGCTTGCGAATTTTGACTAATAATAGAAGATAATAATTATACTATCTTTCATTAGTATAAAATATTGAATAACTCTGATTACTAAACATATATATTTTTACCTTCACTAAAATTTAAATGTATGAACTCAATTGTCATACAATTTCCTTTTTTGATAATCACGATTTGATGTTTGAATTAGCTTGTGAATCATTAACATAAATATCGAATTATTTTTTCGTATAAATATTTTTACCTCTATACAATTAGCCACGGTTCTTTTAACTAACCAATTTCGGAGCTCTAGACGATTGCCGGAAAACCTTCATCGGACTTACCAAATACCATCCCTTCAACTTCTCCGGCGAGCAATTTACATCATTTCCGCCGGATACTGACGTCACCGCCACATTCACCGATCTCGATCTCATCACCGTCGTTATCGCGAAGTCCTTAATCCTCGTATCATTGCAGTAGTATGCTTTCGATTCCGATTCGTTCTCTTTACCTCTCTTCCTTAACTTAAACATCCACCAGAACGATGCCGTTTTGTTACTTTTCTCACTCTCCGTCTTCCTTCTCCGATCACCGGAATCAACATTTCGCGATTTTAGAAACGGAATGCCGACAGATTTTGATCTACATAACGCCGTCTCGCTGCTGCCGTCTTCTTCGCCGGTTTTGTTACTCTTCTCATTCTCCGTCGTCTTTCTTCGGTCACCGGAATCAATATTTCGCGATTTTAGAAACGGAATCCCGACGGATTTCGATCTACATAACTCCATCTGGCCGCCGTCTCCGATTTTGCTACAGTTCTCACACTCCGCTTGGTTCCTCCGGCTGCTAGAATTAACATTTCGTGATTTCAAAAACGGAATTCCTACAGATTTTGATCTACAGAACGCCGCCGGTTCCTCGCCGTTGATTTTGCCGGAGGATGAAGACAACGACGTCGTAGATGCGGCGCAGTTAAAAGAGCAAGGGCGCACTTTAGCACAGATAGGGCAAAGTTCGGAAAGTCGATCCCGGAGACAAATTGAACAAACTCCGGTAGTAGTTCGCCGTTTCTTCGAAGGGTGTTTTGGACATTTCCATGCTTCTTCTTCATTATAGTACGCCATTTCTGTAAGTCTCTTTTTATTTTCTCGTAAATAATTCTCAAATTTCATAAGGCACTCCTTCTATATATATATTATCGGTGCGTTGCGCGGTTATTATTAAAATAAACTATGTTGTTGAGGTGTTTGGTGTGTGTGAATAAAAACTTAACGCGGATAAGGAAAATGAAAATGACGTGTTGAATGCATGCGTAGCCGTCTCATATCTATTTGTTGAATTGTTGTAAAGACTTTTACTATACTATAATTAATAATGTAATTTGAACACGTTCAAGATTTAGCGTAGGTAAAAAGAAAAATAGTAGGTGAGTTATTTTGTTGTTTATTTCAATTTTGGTGGGACATAAATATGTAGAGTTTGTGCGTATGAGAAATAATAAGTATGTGATTAAATAATTGACGTATAATTATCATTGTAGTTGTGTAGAAGATATTTTGAATTATTATTTTGATAAATATGGTATGTTGGGTAAGTTTGTAATTTGCATGCATCTCAATTAATTAAGATGTTCGAACCATTCAAATTGAATATGAAAATTTTAGTTTATACTTTTGATTTTCGAATAAAAGAAATTACAATCTAAATTAAGCTCAGATCATGTAATTTACTACTATGTTTTTACTAGAATTTAAAAATTAATCTCCCATTATTTTCACTTGAACATCATTAATCAACTTTTAAAACACATTTATTTTTGAATGCTCATTTCTATTACTAATATGTTATAAAACTTGAGTTCAAATCTTATGTACTAACGATATAAAAATCATTAATTTACTTCAAAGGTAAATCATAGGTAAATATCTACACTAATAAAACAAGTGTCCCCTAGGAAACAATAAAAATATCTACACTGAAAATGAATTGGTAATAATCTAAAAGGCAAGTGCATAAAACTAAAAACTCAAAGTGAAATGAATACATAGTAAATATTTTTTAATTTTATTTTGTTTCTCATTTCAGTGTTCAATATTTGTATTGAAATTTGAGTACATTAAAATTTAAATATTATTGGGTCCATTTTGAAGGGGGCAACATGATTTTTTCCATTTTTAAACTCAAATTTACTATAGCTGATAAATAATTTTTTAAAAAGAAATCAAACCATTCCACCCCCATTGATATCGATATAGGAAAGATCATAATCGAATACCAAATAAATTAATGCAAGGGGCAGTACACATTGACTTCTTCACATGCAATAATTGACTCTTCGAAAGTGATAATACTAAAGAAATCTCTTGTAAGATTTTGTATTACTA